CGGTTCTTAATCATATGCTGCCTCCTGAAATGGTTGAACGTCCACCAATTCTTTTTGGTACAGTGACTCTGTATTCCTTCCATCTTCTTTTGACCCATCCTGCGATGTTTACTATTTTCGCTGTAGAATCCTTCAATATTGCAACTCGAGGCTTGAATTTTTTCTTCAGTTCTTTCAGCTTGAGAAATGCCGAGCGTGTTCTCCCCTTTTGGTTTTCTAACTCCGGGTCTTTGCACATTTCATTATAATTCTTTCCTTTGTCTTCTCGAGCCACCCTTTGAAATCTTCTGTTCAGCTCTTTTACTTCATTTCTTCCTTTTGCTTTAGCTGTTGTATGTTTTAGAGCAACTTTCAGGGTCTCTTCTGACATCCATTTTGGTCTTTTCTTTCTTGTCTTTTTAATGACCTCTTGCTTTCTTCATGTATGATGTCCTTCATATCTTTCCGCAGCTTGTCTGGTCTTTGGTCATTAGTGTTCAGTACATCAAATCTATTCTTGAGATAGTCTCTAAATTCAGGTGGGATATATTCAAGGCAGTACTTTGACTCTCGTGGTCTTGTTCTAATTTTCTCCAACTTCAGCTTGAACTTGCATATGAGCAATTGATGATCTGTTCCAGTCAGCCCCTCTCCTTCTCTCCCTTTCTCCCTCTCTCTCTCTCTCTATGTATATATATATGTATGTATACGTATATATATATATATATATATATATATATATACATGACTGTATATATATTAAGAAACTCTGGTGGCATAGTTGTTAAGAGCTACAGCTGCTAACTAAAAGGTCATCAGTTCGAATCCACCAGGTGCTCCTTGGAAACCCAATGGGGCAGTTCTGCTCTGTCCTATAGGGTTGCTATGAGTCGGAATCGACTCGACGACAGTGGTTTAGTTTGTTTGTTTGTTTGTTTTTACGTATATTAAGTGTATGAGTATTCAAGGAGCCACGGTGGCATAGTGGTTAAGCACTTGGCTGTTAACGGAAAGGTCCATGGTTCGAACCCACCAGCTGCTCCACAGGAGGAAGCTGTGGCAGTCTGCTTCCATAAAGATTACAGCCTTGAAAACCCTATGGGGCATTTCTTCTCTGTCCTATAGGATTGCTGTGAGTTGGAATTGACTTGATGGCAACGGGTTTTGTTTATGTGTATATCCATGAGAGAGAGAGTAGTGTGTGTGTATAAAATACGTGAGTTTCCCGACACCTGGGCTCTCTCTAGCATCCCTTTGCTGTGGATTCCAGAGAATATCATCTGGATGATGTTGACTCTTCAGAAATTATTGAGGTTTCTTTCTTGACTTGTACATGGTTGTTTTTGTCAGTTTTACGTGTATGCTTGGAAATAATTTATTGGACGTTAAGTTCTGCAGTGTCTGTTAGTTTGACCTTTTTAATCACGTTTTGCAGATCATCCGTAATTTGCTTATTCTTTGTTTGTTTGAACTACCACTTTGTGAAAAGAGTCTGCCAAATCCCCCACTACAGTTGTGGCTGTATTATATCTGTCTGTGGGTCTCTTGGTAGTTGCT